ATAACAATACTTATTAGCTTTCCAGCCTATAATATCTACATCATTAGCATATTACACCCATGAATTTCATCCAACCACATCCAAAATTTAGGTTTTATTACCAGAGTACCTTATTTGTGATAACCCATTCTGAGTTATATAGGATTCTAATGATGGTTTAGTTGCTAGGTCATGTCTGACTTTTGCGACTCAATGGACTGTAGCTTGCCAAGCTCCTTTGTCCATGGGCTTTCCCAGGCAAGAATATTGGAGTGGGTTGCCATTTCCTTCTCCAGTGGATCTTCCTGATCCAGGGATCAAATGTAGGTCTCCTGCATTGCAGGCAGATTCTTTACTGTCTGAGCCACCAGGGAAGCCCAGGGTTCTATTTAGCTGTATATAATAAAAATCACAAATAGCATAAATTTGGAACTTAGCATGGGTTCCCTCCCTTTACAGAATCATATTTTTGTTTGCTATCTGCCATATGGGCACTTTGCTTTCTTTTGTAAACTCTCTTGTTATATTTCTGCAGCATTTGGAAACCCTTCTACTAATTTTGGGGCCAAGACTTTAGCTCTGCCCTTGTTTTTCTAGAAATAGAGTTTGTAATTTTATTTCTTGATTTACTTGATTCTTTCAGAAGATGTTCAGGAAAGAAATTATGGAAATACCATCTCTCTGTCTGTCAAGTTCAAACTACGAATTCCATAGTCTGTTTAAATTCTTAGACTTTTATAAAGCATAAGGCATTGTGGTTGATGGGGGCCAGAAAAATTCAGTAAAGCAGGAAGACTAGAAAGACAAAGCAAGTGTTTACTCCTGACTTATAGTTTAGACAAGCTAGCTACAAAGAAGTCTAAGAGTTTTGGGCACAAAATTGGTTTGAATCCCAGATATTTTGCTTGTGAGGACTGTATAGGTGCTGTAGAGGACTTCTGAATGTAATAAATGGCTCATTTGAGTTTTGTTTTATATTACTAAAATCTGAAAGATAATTTTGAGATTAGAATGAGCTATACTTTTTCAGAGTCTGGAAAGGAATAAATGAAAATGCATTAGTGCTTCTTTAAACTCTATTGTATCTATTACCAAACAAAAGGAAATACCTCTAATTATTTCTTATATTTGTTCTTCATTTCTTCAGAAAGAAATAAATATAGATTCAGTTACTGGTGTCAGGAAAAGTTTAATTTATTGGTTAAAAGGGCTAAATCCAGGCACAAAAATTCAGTTAAAAGCTTTTATGTTAAAATGCAGTCATAGCACAGATGTGGAGAATGGACTTGTGGACACAGGGTGTGAAGGAGAGGGTGGGATGAATTGAGAGAGTAGCATTAACATGTATATACTACCATGTAAAAAATAGATAGCTAGTGGGAAGCTGCTGTATAGTGCAGGGAGCTCAGCCCAGTGCTCTGTGTTGACCTGGAGGGGTGGGATGGGGGGTGGGGTGGGAGGAAGTTTCAAGAAGGAGGGGATATATGTAGACATATGGCTGATTCATGTTGAGGTTTTGAGAGAAAACAACAAAATTCTGTAAAGCAATTATCTTTCAATATAATATTTATGTATATATATTTATAGCTGATTCATGTTGTGTACAGCAGAAACTAATACAACATTGTAAAGCAATTATACTCCAGTTAAAAAATAAACTTTAAAAAATGCAGTCATAGGCTTAACAGGGAAAAAAAATCCCTTAAAGGAGTAAATTATCAATATTCTAATCATGTACTCAGACTAAATGGTATTGGAAGCCATTCTGTGGTATAGACTAATGTGTTACTAGCAGACTTATGAAATAAAGCTGAGGATGGAGTCTCCAAGTCATTTCTGGAAGAAGGATTTCTCTTTTGCCTTTCTCAGTTATTTTAGGACAAAGGAAATAAGAGGATATCTATTTGCTTTTCTTTTTTGAGGGGGAAGTTGTTTTACACTGGTTGTGTTTTATTTGCTCGAGATCAGTCTAGAGAGAGCAAGAGGTTAACAGAAAAAAATCTAAGAAACTGCTTTTATCCAAAGATTTAGGTCTGTTCAAAAGTGGAATAGGATCATATGATTACGAGTTAATGATATCTTAGAGTAATTTCATGCTCAACTAATGATTCAACAAGATTAAACTCAACTCTAGTCACTGTGTTGTAGAGGCATTATTTGCTCTAAAGTCTTAGCTCTGTTTAGAAAGCAATGTGTTATTCAACTCAAATTTGGATCGAACTTGCTTCAAACATATTGAATGGATAAGTTGTGACATTTTTGCACGGTTGAGTTATTCTATACTGCTATAATAGAGAATATCCTAAGATCTGGAACATTTTAGGAAATTGGCGATGGCTGATGGTATATCTGTGTCATGCTGATAGTAATGTCAAGGGATCTTAAGAATTAGTGATATTAAAAAATAGAATTAGTCATATTTGACAGCAGGCATCTCTAAAAGACTTATGCCTTTTAGGAAGCCCAATTCCATATGCCTCTTCTTTCTCTCCTCTCTTTTAAGATGAATTAAAGGAAATACTTTGTATCTTCTGCGTAACTTGAATTACCTCTGAGTTGCTAAGAGTCGGACACAACTTAGCGACTGAACAACAAATGTTGAAAGAAGCTCTTACTTATCTTGATGATTGGCTCTCAACCTAGTGAAGCATGCCCTTAAAACCTGAGCTCCATTTCTTCAGCTTCATAGCTGGTGTGTCTTTTCTTTACCTTTTAAAATCCAGCCATACTAAATTATTAACAATCCTTCAATTAGATCATCCTGTCTCATGATTGTATTCTTTGAATGCCATATCACATGTCATTTACTTGGCAAACTTCTCATCTTTTTTTCAAAACTCAGTTCAGATTTATGGTACTCTTTATAGTTTTCTTACAAAGGCCAAAATAGAACTGATAACTCCTTCCTTAGTTTTGTATCTAAAACATGTATCTAGGTTTGGACTCATTATTGAACATGTATATCTTCTACTAAATTATGTGTTCTTGAAGGAGAGAGAAATCAGTGAAAAATTGAGCATCCTTGAAAAGAAGTAACTTTGTCCCCCAAACATAAGTTTGGGAAATATAAGTAGAGCAAAACGTGTCTGCAGAGACATAGAAGTTTGAAAAAGCATCTTTAGGCTGGGGTAACAAGTATGATTGGCAGAGTAATAGATGTTAAGGCTTTTAAAGTGACATCATAGAGTTTTTTCCAGTATGCTAAAATAATGCTTATTATGTCTCCGTAATTTGAATAGATGAGCGCTATTGGGGAAGCTGCCAAAGTTTTCTGCTACAGTTTCTTTAAAAAAAAAAAAAGTGGTGGTAATAATATCTACTCCTTCATTGGAATTGCACAGCAAATGATCAATGTATGTTAGCTACTATGGTTATTATTATTATTAGTAGAATTATCTACCCTTACTGACAGACTGAACTCTGTGATAGATTTTTTAGCCCATCCAAATGCTTAAAACATTGTAAGTGCTTAATAATATTTGTTGAAAAGATGGATTATTGTATACATACTAAAGAAACATTGACTTCTCTTGAAGACAGAAATTATGTGAAAATATTTGAAATTTAATATTTGTCATCATGACATAAATTTATTAGGAAGAGGAGTTAGAAGCAAAGAGACCACTTTGGAAGCTATTGCAAAAGTCTACATGACATATGGTGACAAATTACATCAAAGTAGTGGCAGTAAGTATGGAGAAAAATATGCTGGAGAGTCAGTCAACAGGTACAGATGACTTCCACATGTGCAGTGTGTTGTGAGGGTCGAGAGTAAAGGCTCTATAGTATACTGCCTGGCTTCAAACCCTGTCCCTTCATTAACCTGCTGTGTGACCTTAGCAAATTACTTCACTTCTGTGCATTTTAGTTTCCTTGTCTGTAATAATTATACCCTAAGGCAATAATAAGGATGAAATAACAATTGCTAAATAAATACTAAGATGCCATATTTGTTGTTGTTGTTTAGTTGCTAAGTTGTGTCTAACTCTTACGACCCTATGGACTGTAGCCTGCTAGACTCCTCTGTCCATGGGATTTCCCAGGCAAAATACTGGAATGGCTTGCCATTTCCTTTTCCAGGGAACCTTCCCGACCCAGGGATTGAACCTGAGTATGCTGCTGGGTCTCCAGGCAGTTTCTTTACCACTGAGCCTCCAGAGAAGCCCAAAATGCCACATACAAATATACATATATAATACTTAATCTTAGTCTTCATTGCTATCATTATTACCATTATTTCTGAGGAGATAAACACAGGGGTTCAATTTCAGATGATTCTAATTTGGTCCTGGATACCATTAATTGAATAAAGACTATGGTGGTCTTGTCAGAGCATAATTCATTCAATTTGGAACACCTTAAGTTCCAGATGTCCAAATAGATCTGCTTATGAGTATAAATTTAAAGAGAAATGTATAGATGAGAACATATTTACTGGCAGCTGAGAGAAAATGTCCACTGAGGAGATGAGAAAGCTGAGGACAGAACTTTGATTGGGGAACAGGTGACACGTTCTGATAAAGTACCGTCAGGCAGAAAGGAGGAGAAAACAGGGGGAAAAGAGTATCTCATGTATCAAGTGTGACAGATATCAAAGAAGAGGTCTGTTTTTCATTTTGGAAATAAGAAGTAGATATATTAATAGTCCTTATCTAGAATCACTTGAAATGGTTGGGGCAGACTCCAGATTGCAGTGGGTGCATATAGTGCTAAATTGTAGAGAGAATGAACACACATTATCTGTGGGCTCCAATGTGATGGATAATACAGGAAAAATACTGAAAGGATAGATTAATCATGATCCAGAAATTATGGGTTCTAGGAGGCAAAGTTCCAGAATTATCTGACAGGGTAGTCCAGTGAAGGATGGGGAGGTCTGGAAATTGTTAAGCCCAACTCCAGGCAGACAATCCAAGAGGAATGAATGGCTTCCCTTTCTCACTTTTGACTCCTTGCCTCACTCCCATCAGGAGGGAAGATCTTGGAATCGTGTTCTCTCTCACCAAAATATTATTTTTCAGCCCACAGGGAACCCAGACTAGTCGGAGGGGACATTCCCTGCTCCGGTCGTGTTGAAGTGAAACATGGCGACACTTGGGGCACCATCTGTGATTCTGACTTCTCTCTGGAATCGGCCAACGTGCTGTGCAGGGAATTAAAGTGCGGCACCGTTGTTTCCATCTTGGGAGGAGCTCACTTTGGAGAAGGAAACGGACAGATCTGGGCTGAAGAATTCCAGTGTGAGGGCGACGAGTCCCATCTTTCACTCTGCCCCATTGCACCCCGCCCAGATGGGACGTGTAGCCACAGCAGGGACATTGGAGTAGTCTGCTCAAGTGAGACCCAGACAACATGTTCATTTTGTCCCCATATTGTGAAGAGGGTAGGGTAAGGTAGTCACAGACATCTTGTTAAAGCCCTGTCTCCTTCCAGGATACACAGAAGTTCGCTTGGTGGGTGGTAATACCCTGTGTGAAGGAAGAGTGGAGGTCAAGATTCTTGGGACCTGGGGATCTCTCTGCAACTCTCACTGGGACATGGAAGATGCTCACGTTTTGTGCCAGCAGCTTAAATGTGGAGTTGCTACTTCTATCCCAGGAAGAGCACCTTTTGGGAAAGGAAGTGGACAGCCCTGGAGACACATGTTCCACTGTACTGGGACAGAACAGCACATAGGTGATTGTCCTGTAACTGCTCTGGGTGCATCACTGTGTCCTGAAGGGCAAGTGGCCTCTGTAATCTGCTCAGGTAAGAGAATAAAGGGCAGCCAATGAGGAGCCTCTCCCATGGTGGTGTGCCTTAAGAGTGGGTATAAGGGGGGAAGGAGAGAGTGGGATAACTGAGAAAGCAGCATTGATGTATATACACTACCATGTGTAAAAGAGATAGCTAGTGGGAAGATACTGGTTAACACAGAGAGCTCAGTTCGTTGCTCTGTGATGACCTAGAGGGGTGGGATGGGGGTTGTGGGAGGGAGACTCATGAGGGAGGGGATAAATGTATACTTACAGCTGATTCATGTTATTGTACAGCAGAAACTAACAACTAACACAACATTAAAAAACAATTGTACTCCAATAAAAAATATCCTATGATAAACCATGATGGAAAAGAGTATTAAAAAAAGAATATATATATATATATATATATATATATATGTATGTATATATGTATAACCAAATCACTTTGCTGAATTAACAAGAATTAACAACATTGTTGATCAACTATACTTCCAAAAAGGAGTGGGTGTACCTATAGTAAAGAATGGGAGTAAAAGGAAATATATATATATATATATATATATATATGTATGTATATATGTATAACCAAATCACTTTGCTGAATTAACAAGAATTAACAACATTGTTGATCAACTATACTTCCAAAAAGGAGTGGGTGTACCTATAGTAAAGAATGGGAGTAAAAGGAAATGATCTACTTTGAGAGATTATGAGAAGTGTACCAGAATATTAACTTCATTTGTCTTTTTAGTGGGAAAGGAAGCTTGATTTTCATGGACCTCATAGTTAATAGAGCTTATGTGTGTGGGTCAGTCATTCAGTCGTGTCTGACTCTGCAACTCCATGGACTCTGTCCACCAGGCTCCTTTGTCCATGAGAATCTCCAGACAAGAATACTGGAGTGGGTAGCCATTCCATTCGCCAGAGGACCTTCCTGACCCAGGGACTGAACCCAGGTCTCCTGCCTTGCAGGCAGATTCATTACCATCTGAGCCATCAGGGAAGACCATTTAGGACTTACCATGTAATTTAGGCTTCCCAGGTGCTGCCAGTGGTGAAGAACCCAGCTGCCTGTGCAGGAGACATAAGAGACACAGGTTTTCCCTGGGTCAGGAAGATCCCCTGGAGGAAGGCATGGCAATCCACTCCACTGTTCTTGCCTGGAGAATCCCATGGATGAGGAGCCTAGTGGGCACAACCCACGGGGTTGCAGAGAGTCAGTCATGACTAAAGTAACTTAGCACAGGCACACATGTGCTTTCTCAGAGGATCTGATTCATTCTTAGCCTTGTTGACCCAGACATCTTTCTCTAAAGCTATGTTTGTCCTGAGTTCATCCATCTAGCACACCAACTGACCTCCTCTCTTCATTCCATCATTTTGTATCTCTTGTGATGGGTAATGTTTGGTGCTTGCAGGAAACCGGAGTCAGACACTATATCCATGCAATTCAACATCTTTGGATCCGAAAAGCTCTGTTGTTTTGGAAGAAAATGGTGTTCCTTGCATAGGTGAGAATCAGTGACTGATCTATGAAAATGATCTCCAAATCATCAGAAATGCATTTATCACTGTTTCATTTGCTCTTTCAGGGAGTGGACAGCTCCGCCTGGTAAATGGAGGTGGGCGTTGTGCCGGGAGAATAGAGGTCTATCATGAGGGCTTCTGGGGCACCATCTGTGATGACAGCTGGGACTTGGATGATGCCCATGTGGTATGCAGGCAGCTGGGCTGCGGTGTGGCCATTAATGCCACGGGTTCTGCTCATTTTGGGGAAGGATCAGGGCCCATCTGGCTGGATGAGGTGAACTGTAATGGAAAGGAATCTCGCATTTCTCAGTGCCGTTCTCATGGTTGGGGACGGCAGAACTGCAGGCATAAAGAGGATGCAGGAGTTATCTGCTCAGGTGAGTTCTGCAAAATTACAACTGGTTACAGTTATGGAAGAAATGGCTGAGGTGGAGTGGTGGGTAGGGAGAATATTAATGTGAGTAAACTCCTTGGACTACAGGTTCAGAGGGAACACTTGTGAGATTCAGGTTGCCAGAAGTGTGGATCTGATGCGTTAGTACTACCTCATGTGCAAGGTGGGCTATGCTGGTGGCTCAGTGAGTAAAGATGCAGGAGACCTGGGTTTGGTCCCTGGGTGGGTAAGTTCCCCTGGAGAAGGGAATGTCTACCCACTCCAATATTCTTGCCTGAAGAATCTCATGGACAGAGGAGGCTGGTGGGCTACAGTCCATGAGTCGCAAAGAGTCAAACATGACCAAGTAACCAAGCACACAGACACACATGTGCAAGGTAGTATGTAGTATGATATCAGAAAGAGGAAAGTTCAGAAGTGAGGTTGTATGTCATGAAAATGACAGTAAAAGTGATAATGAGAAATTCTTTTATAAACATAAAGGGTGCTGGATGTTGGTTAAGGATTCAGTGTACCACATGATGATCACTGTATTAATGAAGTAGATTAAAAAGGATAAGACAAGGACTTCCCTGGTGGTCCAGTGGTTGAAAATATGCCTGTCAGTACAGGAGATACGGGTTTGATCTCTGGTCTGGGAAGATTCCACATCTGCAGGGCAACTAAGCCCATGTACCACAACTACTGAGCCCACCCTCTAGAGCCCATGCCCCTCAGAAAGAGAAGCCACCAAAATTAGAAGCTCACACACTGCAACTAGAGAGTAGCCCCAGCTCATTGCAACTACACGAAGCCCATGTGCAGCAATAAAGACTCAGGATAGCCAAAAATAAAAAAACCTTTTTTTTTTAAAAGGAGAAAAATAAATACATTTGGTAACACATTCTACAGACAAAAAGACCACCATGCCCCCAAGTAATTTTTCATGACAAAGAATCACAATGAGACACTGCTCTTGTTTTGTATACACGATTAAATATTAGAAAGCATTGTGAACTAGAAAAATGTACTCAATTGTAATGTATTGGGGGAAAAAATGGTGCTATGACTTAGCAAAGTGAAAAATTCTATATGCCATATGTGATTTTGCTCTCACATTTAATAACATAAATCTGGTAGAGGACATACAAAACAAAACTATCTCAGCTGGTAAAGAATCCATTTGTAGTGCAGGAGACCCCGGTTTGATTCCTGGATCAGGAAGATCCCCTGGAGAAGGGATAGGCTAACCTCAGTATTCTGGTCTGTATAGTCTCTAGGGTCACACAGAGTCAGACACAACTGGGCGACTTTCACTTTCACTTTTCGAAGTGTCAGAAAGGGAACTATTGTATTTTAAGGTAATGTATACAAAACATTGGTTTTAGTGTCTGAGTATCTCACTAAATTTTAACTGTCAAGGACAATTGTCCAAAATTGAACAGAACAGGGTTACAAAGTCAAAATACGGTAATTTAGAGAGAAAAATCCCAAACTGTGTAATTCATAAAAGGCTCTGAGTAAGCATTTGATTGAGATTTAGATGTCAACTTAGAGTCACTGTTGGCATTTTGAAGTGAAGTGAAGTCGCTATCGTGTCCGAGTGTTTGTGACTCCATGAACTGTAGCCTACCGGGCTCCTCCATCCATGGGATTTTCCAGGCAAGAGTACTGGAGTGGGTTGCCATTTCCTTCTCCAGTGGATCTTCCTGCCCCAGGGATAGAACCCGGGTCTCCTGCATTATAGGCAGAGGCTTTACCATCTGAGCTACAAGGGAAGCAGAGGTCCCTAATTACAAAATCCAAGACCAAAAAAACCCAGAAAGTATTTATAGAACAAATATTTTAAGAAAATCTACCAAATCATCATGAAGTTACCAAAGAATTTCTAATAATGGCATATCCTGTTAGATCATGTTAGTGTTACTTACTCAGTAATGCCCACCTCTTTGCCCATGGACTGTACCCAGCCAGGCTCCTCTGTCCATGGAATTCGCAGGGAAAAGATAGCCATTGCCTTCTCTAGGGGATCTTCCCAACCCAGGGATCGAACCCCAGTCTCCTGCACTACAGGCAGATTCTTTACCGTCTGAGCCACCAGGGAAGCAGGCTGACCTATTTTTAAAAACGTGCGCACATCAAAGTAAATGAAGAGAGTCCTCTGGATCTTCAGGAAAGATGCAAAACTGCCATTTATTTCACTCCAGAGTTCATGTCTCTCAGACTCATCAGCGACACCAGCAGCGAGACCTGTGCAGGGCGCCTGGAAGTTTTTTACAACGGAGCTTGGGGCAGCGTGGGCAAGAGTGACATGTCTGCAACCACAGTGGGGGTGGTATGCAGGCAGCTGGGCTGTGCGGACAAAGGGAGTATCAGACCAGCGCCTTCAGACAAGGTGGAGAAAAGGCACATGTGGGTGGACAACGTCCGGTGTCCTAAGGGACCCGAAACCTTATGGCAGTGCCCATCATCTCCGTGGAAGAGAAGGCTGGCCAGCCCCTCAGAGGAGACCTGGATCACATGTGCTGGTGAGTATCTGTGGGCCGGTATGACAATCTCATTCTGTTGTTCCACTCTCATCTCCTGATCTAACTCAGTGAGAATGAATAACGTTTGGTTAACCCTTATTCTACCTGGATGATGTAAATGGTTTTATTTAATTTGGCCTTTGGATACTCGGGATCAGTGACTATTTTCTCAAAGATGATCATACTCTGATGGTCTTCTCAAAAGTTTTATTCAGTTGTGCTTTCTCTGTGAACAAATTAGGATCAGAGAATATATAATTCAGTATTTGACTATTGAGTTACTTCATTTTTCTTTCAAATAATATCTTGTTACACTCAATGTAAGGAGAGAAGCAGTCAGAAAGATCAATCCTGAATTATTTCCCTGTTCTACACCTTCTTAAACTGGAAGAAGATTTCTATTTATCTAGTAGTTTGAGAGGATTTATACTGAGTTGGCCAAAAAGTTCATTTGTCTATAATTATGGAAAAAAAATTTTGACCAACCTAATACGTTTACGATGCTAACTTTATCTCATTGACATTTACTAAATCACACTAACGTTCTAATGTCCAGGATGAAATATTTAATACACCCAGTTTGTTGGAAGGACATGCACTTCCATGAAAGATGAATGTTGTAAAATTCCAAATGCACATTCAATAAGCAAAGTTTTAAAACAGATTTTTTTAAAAAGTTTCAAATTTTTCTTTTCTCCAGTGACCTTCTAGGAGCTTTTATCTTCTCAGAAATGATCAAGGTGTCTCTGATTTTTCAGATAAAATAAGACTTGAGGAAGGAACCACTAATTGTTCTGGACGTGTGGAGGTCTGGCACGGAGGCTCCTGGGGCACAGTGTGTGACGACTCCTGGGACCTTAACGATGCCCAGGTGGTGTGTCGCCAGCTGGGATGTGGCTTAGCTCTGGAGGCAGGAAAAGAGGCAGCGTACGGCCAGGGAACCGGGCCCATATGGCTCAATGAAGTGAAATGCAAGGGCAATGAGTCCTCCCTGTGGGATTGTCCTGCCAAAAACTGGGGACACAGTGACTGTGGGCACAAGGAGGATGCCTCTGTGAAGTGCTCAGGTGAGCCCAAGGGGTCTGGAACCTCCTGCAGCTCGGAGAGGGTGGGCAGGGAGGGGCATTGTGTAAGGACCGGAAGTACCGTCCCAGGGACCTGGTGGGGAAAGAATCGTGCGTGTTGTTATACACTGGTCTTCAGACGGTAAGGAATCCGCCTGCAACGTAGGACACCTGGATTCGATCCCCGGGTTGGGAAGGGCAACCCACTGCAGTATTCCTGCCTGGAGAATTCTGTGGACAGAGGAGCCTGGCGGTCTACAGTCCCTGGGCTCCCAAAGAGTCAGACACGCCTGAGCGACTTTCACTGAGGAAAAGCATTTAGCTTACATGTATCCCTGTGCAGAGGGAGGAAAAACTAGGGGTCTCTAGTTTTGGGTGGGAAGAAGTAGTTTATTTGGTTGAGAGGCTAAATCCCCAGACAGGAAACAGACACAACTGTTCTGTATGTAACTCCCAGAATTGAGTCTCTCCTCTTTTCTCCTACAGAAATTGCAGAGAGCAAAGGATCACTAAAGGCCGCAGGTATATCAAGGGGTTTCTGAGCATGGGCCGATTGTCTGCATTATTTAGAATCCCTCTTATTAAGATTTTCTGGGTCAGAAGCTCTAAGAAGCTGAAATTCACTTCAGCAATCCTGTATTGACCTAGAAAAGGGATAGTAACTGGGGACCCAGGTCTTTTAGCGAAGATGTTATTACCTCTTTTGATGTTTCCCTGTGCTCAGGTCACTCCTCCACTGTTGCACTTGGAGTCCTTGGGGTCATTCTGTTGGCCTTTCTCATCGCAGCCCTCCTGTGGATTCAGAGGCGAAGACAGAGACAGCGTCTTGCAGGTCTGAGCCAAATTATCGTGTCTCTAATGTTTCATGGCATAAGAAGTTTCTTGGAATAATACAACAATAAAAAAATTAGATTCAAGTATCAAATGGCCAGAAAGAGGAAACCTAGAAGAGATTTAGAAACAAAAGTTCAGAGAAGAAAAGGGGCACTGCTCGTATTGATGATTATTATAATGTAACTATAGGCTTCCCTGGTGGCTCAGTGGTAAAGAATACGCCTGCCAATGCAGGAGAGGAGGGTTCAATCCCTGGGTCAGGAAGACCCCCTGGAGAAGGAAACAGCAATCCACTCCAGGATTCTTGCCTGGAAATTTCAATGAACAGAGGAGCCTAGCAGGCTGTAGTCCATGGAGTTGCAAAAGAGTCAGGTACGACTTAGCAACTAAAAACAACAGCAAATAGTCTATCTATATCTTTAATTGGGACATTATAGAATCAATCGTTTAGAATGAGTATGCTTGTGTGGTTCTGGATGAATCCTTTATTGCCCAAACATTTATTTTCTCTTACTCTATACTTATTACTAAATTTACTGTTCTGTTAAGCAACATGCTAGGTTCTGAAGATGATTCTGACATGGATAATCCAATGTTCTTATCTTGATGTAATTTGCAGTCTAGCCAAAGAGAGATATATGTAAGCAAATAAATTGCAATGTATTATTATATAGTAACATGAATGAAGAACAAAGGAGGCCCAGAGAATAAATTAATTAACTGAAAAGGGAGGATCTGAGGCTTCTAGGAGATTTTGAGACGAATTTTGAAGATATAGAGCAAAGAACTTAGTGAGGTACATTTCAGGGAGAGAAAAAAATATTTACAAGTGTAGAGAAGCTTAAAAGATGGCACATTTGGTGTTTTGGTGGGGGTAAGTAAAAGGTGAGTTCAAGGACAGAAGCTCCTGATGAGGCTGAAGAAAGGGGAAGAAACAAGTAGTGAAGTTCTGTATTGCCCGGTAAGAAGATTAACAGTCATTAAAGTATGGTATAGTGGACAGAGTACTCAGGCAGGCTCTTAGAAAGTTCTGTTTGGACACCTGAGGGGTGAAAGAGAACCACATTATTGACAAAGATAGGATTTTGAAATAGTTGAGATGAAAGATGAAAAAGACTTTATAGTGAGAATGAACAGGAAAGGATAAGTTTTATAAAGATTTTAGACAAATCTCCAGTGAATTATGGAAGAATGCTGGCTGCCTTGGGAGAGGAAACTGGGTTGTAATAAGATGGCAGTTGGATAACTGGTTTAGTTTCATTGCTATTGCGTTTGTGTTTGTGGCATCACGAGGGTGAAGCTTGACAGTAGAATAGAATGGAAACAGGACAAGGGCTTAGGTGATGATTGGGTGTGTTTGCACTGCTGGGAAAAAGCACACATAGGGAGGGAAAATTTTATTATGCCCCCCTGACTCCTAACCTATGACCTCTTTTGTCAGTTTCCTCAAGAGGAGAGAACTCTGTCCACGAAATTCAATACCGGGAGATGAATTCTTGCCTGAAAGCAGATGATCTGAATCTATATAATTCCTCAGGTCTGTGGGTTCCTAGAGGGTCCATAGCCCTGGGGTTCAGACCGGTAACTGCAGCTGAGGCTGAGAGGCATTCTACTTCATGTAGTAGTGGAAAAAAATCTCAAACATAATAGGAAGCCTGTGATGCACAAAAGGAAGAAAGGCAGGAATGAACTAAACATTATTCTTAGAAATATTCATTACTGAATATTTAATAATGAATAAATATTCATTATTGATAGAAATTGCAATCATGAAGACCTCTGGCTAAGAGGTCCATGATAATTTCTGACAGAGGATCTTCGTTGTAGAATATTATGACTTGCACATCTTTATATTAAAACAGAAACTAACCTTTGAAAGATGAAACATTTCATATCTCTTTCATAATTTCTTCCATTTTCACTTTCTGTTACGTTCCTTTCTCTAACTTACATTTTTCTGAAAGTTTAAGTTTTCTATGTCTTTATCCCATCAGAAGCCATTCCTACTCATGGGACTAGCCTAATTTCCCATTACATAAAGCTTCTTTCTTTATTCTCTGGCTTCTGTTTAGCACCAGAGCACCAATTCTGCCTCTAGGAAGCATAACTATGCTGGGTTGCAAAAAATACCCCAAGGACTTCCCTGGTGGTCCAGTGGTTAAGACTCTGTGCTTTCACAGCAGGGGGCATGTGTTGGATCCCAGAACTAATATCCTGCATGCCCTGTGGCTAAAAATTACAATGCAATACAATATGATACAATAATAATAAACATCTTACAAAAGCCCAATATCCACTTTATGAAGACTCAATGCCTTCTCAATATTCCTTACCATCTGAGAGCGATCTGCCTCACTTTTTCAGTGCAAAGGAATTGGTATTTGCCAAAACTAACTCAAAGAAATATATATAAGACATGGGAAAGACTTTCTGTGCCTCTTAATTGACACTGTTTGCCTTCCTAATTGTGAACAGTGTTTTTAAATGTTCAAAGGGCTTCCGAGGCACATGAGGGGAGGTCTGACATTTCCTAGTAATTATTTTTTCCTTTCAGAAAATTCTAGTGGGTAAGATGGTTTTAATGTTGCTGGACTAATTTCTGTGTCTAAATCTCTTTCTATTTTTGGATGAAAAAGATCACTTTGACGTACAATGAAAGAAGAAAAAGGGAATTGTAACCTGGTGAGGTAAGAAGAATTTATTCATCGTTGTTCAAAATAGTTACATTCCTTTTGAGAATGCCTCTGGTATTAAGAAGAAAGAGTGTATATACACATGTATGTCCATATATGTTTATGTTTATATGTATATTCAGAATATACAACAGTTTTTTAAGAAATTAATTTTATTTATTCATTTATTTTTGGCTGTGCCAAGTCTTCGTTGCTTTGCTCAGGCTTTCTCTAGTTGCCGGAAGTGGGGGCTACTCTTCATTGCAGTACACAGCTTCTCACTGTGGTGGTTTCTCTTGTTGCAGAGCTCAGGCTCTAGGATGCACAGGCTTCATTATTTGCAGCATGCGGGATCAGTGGTTGTGACATGTGGGCTTAGCTGCTCCATAGCATGTGGGATCTTCCCAGATCAGGGATGGAACCCATGTCCCCTGCATGGGCAGGCGGATTCTTATCCACTATGCCACCACGGAAGTCCCTGAAACAAATTTTTATAAATGACTCTTGTCCGTTCCTTAGTTACCTATATCTTAAGCAATAACAGTGGTTTATTATGTTGCTAAGGAGAAGCTGGGGAAGTAAATATGAATAACTCTTCTAAAGATATTATAGGAGTCATTTCAGAAAAGAGACAAGATGTGTCTACAGGTGTATAATGCATGCTAGGATAAAGATAGTAAAAGATACTATAGGCGTATAGAAACTTGCCCAAGAGTTTGGAGAGATTGTGAAGATGTGATGATCAAGTTTAACATCTGGTGACTGAAAGATGGGCCATTCTAGGGAAAGGACGTGGCATGTACAAAGTGTGGCATGGGGGTGCGGAGCAGGGAAAGGAGGGTGGGATGAATTGGGAAATTGGGATTGACCGATATATACTACTGATACCATGTATAAAGTGGATAATGAGAACTGACTGTGTAGCACAGGGAACTCTGCTCAGTGCTCTAAGGTGACCTAAATGGGAAAGAAATAAAAAAAAAAAAAGCGGGGATATGTGTATATGTAAAGCTGATTCACTGTACGATAGAAACAAACACAACATTGTAAACAACTATACTCCAATAAAAATAAATTTTAAAATGTGGCATAGAAGAGAATCACACCTTTGGGGAGTGGTAAGCTTTTCATTCAAAAACATTGAAAATACGTTTGGTGACAAGTGGTGTCCTGAGCACTGAAGATGCAGAGATAAAATATACTATTGACAAAGACATGGCTATTTGATGAAAGATCTCACAGTTTCTGTGTGGGTGTACAGAGAGGCCGTGTCAGGGGAGGGATGTGATGAGTGTCTAGACAGGAAAGGCTGCACAGAGCCCAATAACAAATGGTCTTATCTGTTGTGTTTCCTATTCATATTTTATTTCAGGGACTGTTGGGGAGGTGGTGGGCTTTGGAAGATTAAGTTCGGGCAAGATATAATCAGATTTGCTTTTATAATTTGTTTTCATAAGAAAAATGGAACAAAAGAAAAAAGTGAATAAGGCAAGAAATTTGTTGTTATACATAAAAAAGAAAAGATGGTAAAATGAATTAGTGGGTACATTTTCTATTTTGTTAAACAATTTTGGGAGGACTATTCCTCTGGAATGATATATAGCAGAAGTATGGGTTTTTATAGAGATATTTTATATGGCATATGAGAAATACAGAGTGAGATTAAGAATAAAAGTTAGACTTCTTAAAAGTATGTAAATGTAAAATGTTAATATCATGCTTATAGACACATAAACATAGAGTTGTCATAAACTGTATACAGGATAAAGTGTTAATATATGTATACAATATGTATATAGTATTATATATATATGTATATAAAAGGCTTCTCAGGTGGCTCAGTAGTAGAGAATCCACCTGCTAAGCAGGAGACTCGAGTTAATCCCTGGGTCGGGAAGATCCCCTGGAGAAGGAAATGGCAACCCATTCCAGTATTCTTGCCTGGGAAATCCCATGGACAGAGGAGCATGGCAGGCTACAGTCCATGTGAAGAGTCGGACACAACTTAGCAACTAAGCAGCAGTATATATAAAAAGCAGTTGTTAAGACGAAGCATGTAATAAGTGATTGGGCAAAGGTATGATAAAAGCAGTTCTCACAAAGTGAATTTTAAATGACTATTAAATAATTTTAAAATGCTCACAATATTGTCTGGGCAATTCAAAGTATGATTAACAATGAGCTATTCTTTATATAAATCAGACCAACAAAAACTTAAAGCAGCACCAATGTTTCTTGTTGGTGGGAATACAGAGAAAAATGTAATTTCAAATGTTGCTGTTGGAAACAAAAGGTGTAGTAGCCTTATGAGAGAGAAACTTAGAAACTTTTATTAATTTGAAAAAAGACATGCTTCCCAGATCTTTTGACCCAACAATTCTACCCCTAAAAATTTCTTTCATATAGATAAAGCTTTTAATATATAAGAACAAATATACAAGAATTCCCTTTAGCAGCCTCTTCAGTACCGCCCCAGAGCTAGAAACAAAGTGAATGTCAATCAGTGGGGTAGTAGTGGCTGGAAAAATTATGGTGCAGCCAGCTAAAAAAGAAAAAATCGTGCTCAAAATTTAATAACATCATTCCACTTTTGTGTTCATGTTACTGAGTACAACTAAGCATAATGTTTGCATTTATAAAACTATCGTGTGTGTACAAGTAAAGAAACAATTAAAAATTCTAACAGATTGTAAACTGAGGCCTATGAATGACTTTTGGTTAGTAATGTCAAACATATGAGTATTATTCTGATAAATGATATTTATCTCATAAATAAATAATAACAAATAATAAATAAATAATAGATAACAAACTACTTTTTCCTTAAAGAGTAATCGCTACTAAGTCACTGCTTCAGAATCACACTAGGGTGCATTTTAAAATGGCCTTTCTGTACTGTAGTTCTCTGGAGTAGAAATAATTCTTAAGCACACTGAAGTTTGAAGATCATTGCATTTAAATTTTCTGTTTGGGAAAGTAGTATGGTTTTTTAATATACATGAATAAGTAAGCAAATGAGTGTGTGTGTGTGAGAGAGAGGGACAGATGTAATATAATACATTATATTAAATGATAATGTAATTCTTCTACATGTGTGCATGTGTGTATGAAGAGAAAAGTAACATTATTCTATTTGTGTCTTTAGTTCAGCCAGCTTGACGAAGACCTGGACTGTTAAGTGAGCAAGGATCAACACTGAAGATCACAATACAGTCCTTTGTCTCCTGATATTCAAAAGACTGCTGCTGAATTTTAAAAAATTAATTTGGTGAATGTGATGACTAAAAAGTTGTAGATAAGATTTTCAGGGGTATTAAGTAAAAAAGAATATTGCTGATTTGAATTTGTCTTAACTCCTTATTTTTGATTCTAAAAATTTCTGAATGAGCTTTCTGACTTTTAGAGTTTCATAAATACAATATGTTGTTTTTTCATCTGACAGTGTTCTTATTTACATATATATTTTTCTGGTTTAAAAAGTAATTTTCTTCTTACTGTGCTGTGTGCTAAATCGCTTCAGTTGTGTCCGACTCTTTGTGACCCTATGACTGTAAGCCTGCCAGGCTCTCTGTCCGTGGGATTCTTCAGGCAAGAATACTGGAGTGGGTTGCCATTTCCTTCTCCAGGGGATTTTCCAGGCCCAGGGATTGAACCCATGTCTCCTGTGTCTCCTGCACTGCAGACAGGTTCTTTACCACTGAGCCACCTGGAAAACTTTTCAGGGAAAGGAAAGAGTGATTATTGAAGGGTTTGTTAATAACATGGTTATGTTTACAACACATGACTCTCATGAGTTCTTTCATTGCTTTCTGTCACTGTAATTCTGGTCACTGACAAAAATTGCACAGGAAATCCTGGTAGGGGTACAAAATCTCATTTTTTAGGGCAGCATAACTAAGCTGAAATGAATGCATCAATTATGTCATATATATATACATATATACACACATATATATATATGTATATATATACACACACCCACACACATATATATGTGTGTGTATATATATATATATATACCTTATAATGAAAGTTTATATTTTACTAAAAATCACTTACCCATGTAACATACTAACATAAGGAAAGGATAACATGTAAAGAAAGACTTACAGTGAATTGATGCTTTTGAACTGTGGTATTGGAGAAGACTCTTGAGAGTCCCTTGGACTGCAAGGAGATCCAACCAGTCAATCCTAAAGGAAATCAGTCCTGAATATTCATTGGAAGGACTGATGCTGAAGCTGAAGCTCCTTTACTTTGGCCACCTGATGTGAAGAACTGACTTATTGGAAAAGACCCTGATGCTGGGAAAGATTGAAGCCAGGAAGAGAAGGGGACGACAGAGGATAAGATGATTGGATGGCATCAGTGACTCGATGGACATGAGTTTGAGCATGCTCCAGAAGTTGGTGACGGACAGGGAAGCCTGGCATGCTGCAGTCCATGGGGTCGCAAAGAGTTGGACATGACTGAATGACTGAATGAAACTGATAGTGATTCAAGGCTGTTCAGAGTCTATTAACTTGAATAACCAAGTGTTAGATGCAATTTGATTTTATTTGAGTACTGCATGCACCCTTTTCTAGCACTTAGGGCTTCAAAGCAACTATCTTGTAAAATCATGACATTTGGCTCATTTTCCATTTCTCTTGTATCTTTTTTCAATTTCAAAGGCATATCTTCCTCAGCTTTCAATGGCCTTGAGTGTGTGTGTGTGTGTGTGTGTGTGTGCGCGTGTGCTCAGTTGATCAGTAGTGTCTGACTCTGTGAACCCATGGACTGCAGCCCACCAGGCTCCTCTGTACATGGGATTTTCCAGGCAAGAATGCTGGAGTGGGTTGCCATTTCCTTCTCCAGGGGATCTTGCAGACTCAGGGATCGAGCCCTTGTCTCCTGCATCTCCTGCATTGGCACATGGATTCTGTACCACTGAGCCACCTGGGAAGCCCTTCAATGGCTTAACCTCCTGATAAACCCATCGGTAAATTGAAATTGTCCTGAATAGAAGTGCATTTAATACTCCTAACCTCTGAACATGGTGGTTTAGCCTAGCTTTCTTTAAATGTTCACAGAACACTTATATTAGCCTACAGTTAGGCCAAATCATCTAACCCAAAGTCTGTTTTATAGTGCTGAATATCTCACATAATTCACTGAACGCTGCACTTGAGAACAAAAAATTGGAGTGGTTGGCTGGGTGCAGAATGGTTGTTCACCTTTGTGGTGGTGTGACTGACTGGAGGATGTGTCTCACTCCTGCCACTATCCAGCACCACAAGAGTAACTGAGAGCATATCACCAGCCCAGGAAAAAATCAAAAGCCAAAATTGGAAGTACAGTTTCTACTAAATGTGTATTGCTTATCTCTTCTCTACAAATGCTTGGGTCCTTTTATCCATATTCCTATTTCAAAATCAAATTCATAACCACTGACTGGAAAAGATTCATTGTCCCTTTCCTTTTACTGTTTAGCATGTAATATGAAGATTTTATCAGAGTCAGTTGAAAGGCACTTTTAGTAGAAAGAGGAACATCACAGAAACGGACAAAAAGGAGAAACATTTCCGCTTACAGGAACTCATGAGAGCTCAGAATGAACCATAAACTTGATAAATGTTCTTCCCAAAGAGAAGGCTCAGGCTTGGCTGAGAGGAAAGGGAAGTCCCGTGCATAACATGAGAAAGTGGTTCCACTGGGGTTACCTTTGTGCATAATGTTTGATGTTTTTAACTATCTAGGGCACGGATTGTGGACCCGAAATTTAGGTCCCAGAGACTGGGTAAAAACGCGTATTTTAAAATAAATATACCAGGCATATTCCTTGCCAGGGAGCATCTTTGAAATGCAATAACTTCCTGGGAATAAAATTAAGTCTAGAATGTTGGTTCCCCACACATGAAGATATGGAATTTTAAGTAACCAAGATTTGGAGAAAACATGGAAAACTATTGCAATTGTAGTATGTTTTAGAAAGACAAGAGGTTGGTTTCCATTCTTGGAATTATCTTCTAAAAGGATGAACTCTCAGGATAGTATGTGATGTGTTTAGCCCTCTTGCCCCAGCACTCTGAAGAATCCCTGTGAAGAAAATAAATAGGAGTAGCTAGAGGATAGCAGCAGCAGAGGAATCCTGTGCTGTGATGATTAGATTTTCTGCTGAAGGTAAGCAGAGAGCTCCCCTTTGCACTATACAGGCATCAGAGCTGCATTTCTTCTTATCAGTTGGTTATGGTTTCTGGCTCTTTAGATGCTCTAAATGGCCGGGGCTGGAAGACTGAGAACTACATTTCTCATAATCTCTTACAGGAGGAAGCTGAGCTAAATTCCACCGATGATAGATTCTCCCATTTAGGGGAGATTTAGTTTTGCAGGAGTGTTTGCATTTGCCTGAAAATTGCTAACCTTGGTGTTGCAGCATCCTTTAGAAGTGGTTTCCTGGGTTTCTTTTTGAAGCTTCCTGATGAGGATTTTGTAAGCACATGATTTCCTGTAGTAACCATTTCCTGCACTAAATACTTACAGGGCTATCTGATTTTAGAAACTTGGGTCTCCTTGATTTCACTTAACTCTTAGAAGAATTACATTTCAGGAGCAGGCAACCAGGTTTTAGAGTTGTATCCTGTCATTCCAAAATATTGAATCATGAATAATAAAACAACAAGGAATAAAATAAAACACTTGGAAGGAATTTGTTGGGCTTATAGATCAATGAGAAAGAGAGAGAGAAAGAAATTAACCTAATGTTTAGTTGATATGTCATGTATGACTCTTTTGTGACTGCATGAACTGTAGCCCACCAGGCTCTTCTGTCCATGGGATTTCCCAGGCAAGAATACTAGAGTGGGTTGCCATTTCCTACTCCAGGGGATCTTCCCAACCCAGGGACTGAACCCCTGTCTCCTGAATGGGCAGATGGGTTCTTTACCATTGACTCGTGAGGAAAGCCCAAAAGAAATTATACTAAGAAATTATCAGAAACTTTGGAAACAGAACTAGAAAAGACATGCACAGGCCTAGAGATAAAGCAAACAAAAATTATTTAAAACTTTAAAAAACAAGCTGTTAAGAAAAATCAATCAAATTAATAAATAACTTATTAAAAAGAAAACAATAAAAATAAAATGGAAAATAAAAAAAGAAGAAATGTGTTCCCAGAAACTGCAGAAGCACCTATGAAGGGAAAGAATATTCAGACATAGGAAGTGACACACACCACCCAAAAAACAGATGCAGACAGAAAAGACCAACATCCCACGGACATTTTGAATGTCATCTTAATAGACATCCATACAGTTTTACAAACACCAAAGTGAATAGTGATTTCAGCAACTCCTTATCACAAATTATTATAATTATTAGACAATGAAGGTACTTTTCCAGACTATTTTAACTTTCCATTCGATGTAGAAATTTCTCACCTAACTGTTCTGAAAGGCAGCACCAGATTTTTCTTTAATATTTCTACTTATTGTTTCTATAATCTCAAAACAACCTTTTCCATGTCTTCAGTTCAGATATCTCTCTCCTCTTCTCCCTTCCACTCCTCTAATCTCCCCTCCTTCAACTCCTCCCTCTTTCTCTGTCTCCTTCTTCCATCTCTTCCTCCTCCTTCTCCTTTTGTCCACATCTGCCTCATCCTTTCTCTCCTTCCATGTCTCTCTGTCTCTGTCTCTCTCCACCCCTCCTGTCCCCACCCTCCTCCAGTTCCTTATATGCTTTTCCAACTAGAGATTCCTAGTGGATGCCTTAATGACTCATTAGAACAAACATATTTCATTTGGTTAAGAACAGAGGGGTAAACATGATATGTAAAGATGAGGAAAATTATGTGTAGGAACTTACATGAAAAGAAAACCTAATGTGGGAGAAGAGAGATAAAAATTAGTTTCACTTGATAACAATGATGACATGTTTGGGAGTCATAAGGCTTCCAGTAGAAAAAGAAAATCTATAGAAATTCCTTCTCTGCATCTCAATGAAATTGTGTTCCATGCTCAGATGGGTTAGGAGCATACCAGTGATACAAGAAAAAAAATGCAACATGGACAGAACATTTCAGAAAGTTCAGATAAGTTTGCAGTGTGATTATCTTAGATGGAGAGAGAAAAGTCTCAACTGTTCTCCTGGATTAAGTGACTGCTGAGTCTCACAGGGACCACGAGCTTTTCTGCCCCTGTGAGAATTACTGTATATGTTGCTTTAGGAGAATAAGACAACATAAGTAATCCACCTAGGATTTTTCCCTGGAAACAGGAAATTTGCTTGAGATTTAAGTTGAATAAAAGTGATTGAGAAAAAGAAGGAATAAGTTCAACAAAAAATTCCTGGTAGCACAGAACTTTTCTGAGAGTCTCACAATATTTATTATCTTTTTTTTTTCCAGTATAAACACAGGCAATGAGGGTCTCTGAAGACCTCTCCCTCTGGGATATGATGTCACAGGACTCCTTACAACCTTAGCCTCTCTCATCAAACGGATGGCCCAGGGGAACAGATCTCAGTCTCGGAATCCCTGGGCTCTTTTGCTATCCTCACAAACAGTGGGGGATCTCCTCTCATCTCATCTTCCTTCCCTCCAAGAACTTCTGTCCTTGGTGACTCCAGGGGACAGCCTGAAACAAGAAGAAAATTGCTTGATCATGCCTGTGACCCAGAAGAATGATAACATCCGTTTTAGAGAGCAGGAACAATGGAAGAGATGCAGACTGTAAAAATTTCTCTACATCAAAACACTCAGAACCATTCTGTCAGGACATAACTTTAAGTAGATAAATTAAGATTTTTTAGTTGGAGTTTCAATATCTAACTCTCAAAAGCTAATAGAAAGAATATACAGAGAAGTATAAAGATATAGTAGACCTGAGAAGCACTATGAACAATTCAACATAATTAAGATTTATACAATTTTCACACAACACAAGGCTGTAAATTCTATCCAAGTTCCCATAGACTATAAACTAAGAGACACTGGAAACATATCCAGGGACAGAAAACAAGGTGTAAAAATTTTATGGTCTAAAGGTATTGAAATCATATAGAATCTGTTCTCTTATCACTGTGGAATTATGTTAGAAATCAGTTATCAAAAGATATTTGAAAGCAGCCCACATATTTTTAGTGCAACGTGACATTTACCAAGAGAAATCTTTGATTTAGCCATTGAAACCCTCGGTAAAATTAGAAGACTGAAAAAACACAGAGGGTGACTGTAGAGAAGAAAGCATTTAATTGAGAAATTAATATCAGGACAGGACTTTATGACTCTTGGCCCAGAGTCTGGGGAAAAGTTGTCACAAGAAAGGATTATTTCTCAAGGTGAATATACCAGAAATGGGAGAGAGGAAAGCATAACTCTAAAACTGTCATAGTCATTCCTCAGTGACAGACTGACCATTTCCTTGTGACTTGTCCCAATTCTTTAAATATCCCAAAAGAATATTTGCAGATAATCCCAAACTTTATAATAATTGTTATATAATAGTTGCCATGTGAGCTATAAAAAGTCAGTCTTCACCAGAAGGCTAGCAAATTTTCACCTTACACAGCAAAAGCAACAACTTCCTTTTTTTTCCCATCTATTTTTATTAGTTGGAGGCTAATTACTTTACAATACTGTAGTGGTTTTTGTCATACATTGACATGAATCAGACATGGATTTACATCCCGACCCCCCTCCCACATCCCTCTCCACCTGATCCCTCTGGGTCTTCCCAGTGCTTTCTAATCTGCTAATTAAAATCTGCTATAAATTAATTTATAATCTGCTAATTATAGCTGATATTTGCTACCTCATTTCTCATAAGGCTCTATGAGCCTCTAAAGAAATCTGCATTAATTTCTTCCCCATCTAATCCAAGAAACTATATATTTGTAAGGGAGGTCAACCTAGTATATTAGGGGCAATAGTTGTCATAAAGTAAGAAATGTCACAAAAATGTTCATATTGTGGCATCACACCGATTTTCCATTCAGAATTAATGCAAAAATTGATGGACAGTCCATGGAACTAATATTCAAGTCTGAGAAATATGGTCATACATGTCTGAGAAATATGGTCAGCATGCATGCATCAGTGCCTGAGAATGGAGGCGGAAGGGGGTTGTAACCACAGAACACAAGATCTACCCAGCCTCTATGAGGACATGGAAATGACAGAAATGTTTTTAAAAGGGCAGACTTGATGTATGAGAGAGATAGAAGCCCACTCAGATTTTCTAACATCAGAAAAGATAGCTGTACTTTCCTCAGTCCCTTAGAGAGCCTTAGCTGACAAACCTGTACCCCTCCATGAGAGAGACACTCCTTCACTCAGAGATGGAAAAGGAACCATGTCAGACAAAGCTGCTCATTCGACATCACTTAGGGAATTTTGTGTGCTGACTTTGGACTCTAAAGGCAGACAAGGGTCTCAAGGACAGTGGCAGTGGTGAAGTGGATCACGGATTAGGGAAGTGGAGACATTTGTACAGATGACTGTGTTACAGTGACTTCATGTGACGTTTGGGGCAATTCACTTAAACTTTTCCAACTGTGTGTGTGCTCAGTATGGCGCAATCATGTCTAACTCTTTGGGACCTCATGGACTGTAGCCCGCTAGGCTCATCTGTCTATGGAATTTTCCAGGCAAGAGTACTGGAGTGAGCTGCCATTTCCTCCTTCAGGGGAGCTTCCCAACCCAGGGATCAAACCCACTTCTCCTGCGTCTCCTGCATTGGCAGGTGGACTCTTTACCACTGAGCCACCTGGGAAGCCCAAACATGTCCAACTACAATAATTAATTATATATTCTCAAGTTACATAATGGCAGTGTTGAGCTAGACATTCTGGTTGTTGACAATTAAAAACCATGATCTACTTTATTTTACCTCAAAGCAACTCAATAGCCTTTTACAGACTAGGCATTTAAATATTGTGTGAGGGAAACCTGGTCAGAGTATCTGTAGGACATGTGACATTAATGTTGAGGGAGTGACATGGTGGATTCAGGGAACCCAAGAATCCAGGATGTCATCTCTCAATGATGTCACAAGGGAGCCATAAAGCAGAAACTTTTCTGGAGAGGCAGGTCACATGACATACACAAGCTGCAGGAATTATGGTCAACAGGTGGTCAGAATGTCTCCTAGAAAAATGGACTTTCAGTCTCCCGAGGGTGTTCATATGATGATCTATCTTACCACTTATCTTTACCACAAAGACAACTTTATAACAAGTGCCTGGAGATGAGGAACTTTGTTTTTCATTGTCTAGCATAAAACACAAACAAACAAACAAAGGTAGCTTAGTCACTGAGTCACTTGAGAGGGAACCTTGATAAGATGAGGAACATCCCAAATGTCGATAAGAAAACAGAAATCTTTTCACCTACAGGAGCTCCTAAATGATAAGCCTATTTTGGGACTTCCCTGGTGGTCCAGTAGTTTAAGACTTCACGTTTTAAGGCAGAGGGTATGGGTTTGATCCCTGGTCTGGGAGTTAAGATTTCACATACCTCAGAGCCAAAAAACCAAAATGTGAAACAGAAGTAATATTGTAACAAATTGAATAAGAACTTTAAAAATGGTCCACATCAGAAAAAAACTTAAAAAAAATTTATATTTGTTATGAAGTTAATGAGAAGTTAGCAAGAGTTCAGAACTGGACATCCGTGGAAGAATGTTCTCCCCAGAGAGGACTCAGATGTCTTGGGCTAGTAGAACATGAGGCGGCTGTCTCACTGAGGCCAGATTTGAGTTTGGTGTTCTAGGCTGTCTAGTACCTGGACCACGGAAGTAACTAGACTGCCAGCCTATGGCCATATGAACTCAAAGGTGAAGGGCAAAGGATTCTTACCTGGTCTTCCTAGGTGGTCTATCTTCATGTCATCATTTTCTTTATCTTTACGGACAATATTGTGCAGAGTAAACCTGCATTTGAGCAAGACTAAGACAAAGCATGCTGGGTCAGACCACATCATCTGGAAATTCCTTCATATATTCCCAGTTCCACAGGGTTCCTTGTATCCTTAAACCTGGGCATTATGTAAACTCAAGCATGGCCCCAGATACTTCATCTTTCACATTCCTGATGGACTGCTTAGCCTGGTCCTGACCCATGTTCTGCAAGTATTTCTATCACATAGAAGATTGTAATTCTAAGATCTTTAGCCCAGGGTCATTGAGGCCTTGGAGATTAGAGAAGAGTAAATATTTTCCCTCATGTTCCCCACATTATAATATATAACTTCTCCTCTCCCCATACACACATTCTCTCACTATAATTTTCCCGTGCCCTAGAGCCCACTGTGGCACTTACATTTCTTTACATGTTGGTCTATCTCAAGTGAAAAGGGAGAAAACATGACAAAGAGAAAAAAGATAAAGAGCATACAAAACAGGGCATAGAGCCAAGGAACACCATTTAGGGATAAACTGGCCTCGTGTGCAGCTTCCTCCATCGAGGTCTGAGGACATGGAATCCTGGGCCTCAGCTCTCTCTCCTCCTAGGTGACGAAGATGATGACATCACAGCTTTAGGCACAATGGGAGATGAAGACACGGATGTGGATTGGCTAAGCCTCATCCCATAGCTGCTAGAAAGAAACAGGCAAACTTAGGGAGCTTCACTTCCATCACACCTCCAGTGGATCAAAAATACTAGATGATCAGGTTAGACCGGTGAGAAGGTAGATTTTCATTATGCATATTCAGAATGTGCCTTTCACAGAATTGGAGACATATCCAGTCACAAAATGAAGAAACTGATTTCTTTAGACTTCGCAGCCCTAGAGCCAGTCTTATTCAGCAGAATAATGTCTAAGTTAAAAGACCAAATAAAAGACAGGTTTTCCCTGCCACAGGGAACATTGTCCCACCACTGCTCCCCCATACACACAATGATCTCAATTCCTGGTCTGAACTCAGACTTCTCTAAGGTGACTGACCAGTGGAGACCCACTGGCAAGATGTTCATGTGGTTCCAGTCTTTGCCAGCTCCCAAGACTGTTTGTAACATACCACCTCCAAGAGTCTTCATGCCTCACCTCCATTTGCCATGAATGTATATTTTCTCTCAAGCTCCACAAAACCTTTATTTCTCAACCAGAACAGAAAAGACATCAACTACCTAAGAATACAAAACCAAAATGTGTGGCCAGTGTTGAATTGGACAAGAAAAATGAGTTCTAAAATCTGCTGCTCATCCAACTGAGGAAATAAAACCCAGACAGAAAAGGCAAGGGTCATTATGGACTATGATAGTCAGGGAGTACTTTACAAAACATTAGAGAGAAAAAATAACAAGCAAGTACAAGTGAAAGGAAATTATCTATTGAAAATCAAATCGACTTCCTGATTCTGAGGCATGTAAACAGGAAGCCAAAATGCCTATGTGCCTTTACTGGCTTAATTTTTGGCTGAGTATCAGATATTAAAATTCTCCAACCTAAGTTAAAAAAGAAACAACTTATCAAGATAAGAATTTATGTTTAAAATCTGAAACAATATTTGTTCATGTTTTTTCACTCTCATCATTCCTAAGAACTGCACTAGGATAAAGTCTACATGGTTGTGTTGTGTTGACATCTTCACACAGAAAGATTAACAATTTAGGCTAAAATAACACTCATTGACTCAAGCACAGCTTTCTCCTCCTAATAAAGTTCTTTCTTCCTTACGCACAACTCTGTAGTTTTTCATCATTTTTCATATAAAGTCTGTTTATAGCCCCTTATGTAGGAAAAAATCAGGAAAAAGACAATTTAAGTTGTCATAAATGAGGAGGCTTTTTAAAAAACAATATAGCATTTGCCTTATCCTTTTTACAAACAGGGGTTTTTAAATCTGATGTTTTATTTAATGATTCAAAATATAAATATAAGTAATTAAAGGAGAACAATAAAGGAACAAAGAAATTGAAATTGTATAGGAAAATAGTATAGAACCAAAAATTGGCTCACTAAAATATCTTCCTGTTTTATTTTCTTCAGAAATCTGCCCCCCCACCCCAGATTTGTTGAGATATAATTAACATATGGCATGTGTAAGTTTAAGATATACAACATGATGCTTTGGTACATATACATACATATATATAGTTTTTTTTTAAATACATTTATTTATTGCGTCAGGTCAAGGCCAAAGTCTATGATCATTTTATATATGTTCTCCTCAAGGATTTTTACAGTTTCAGGTCATACATTTGAGCCTTTAATCCATTTTTAGTTAATTTTAGCATAGGTGTATAGTAATGGATTCTTGTTCTATTCATTTGCTTGTGAATATCAAGTTTTACCAACACCATTTTTAAAAGATTTTTTTGATGTGGACCATTTAAAAAATATTTACTGAATCTATTGCAATGCTGCTTCTGTTTTTTTTTTTTTTTTTTGCCTAGAGGCATGTGAGATCTTAGCTCCATGACCAGGGATTGAACCTGTACCCCTGCATTAACCACTGGACCACCAGAGAAGTCCCACCAACACCATTTATTGAACAGACAATTGCTTCCTAATTGAGTGTTCATAGTACTCTTGTGGAAGATTAGCTGAACACTTGTAAGAGAACATATTTCCAATAGAATGAACATAAATGGCCCAACAATAGCATGCCAGTAGGTGTAGAAATTTGTAAGTCACTTAAAAAAATCACTTGCTAAGATTTACAAAATATACACCTACTATACCGTATAACCCAGCAGTTTCTTTTCTGAGTATATTCCTGAAGAAAGCTTTCATCAATTTTGAGTAATAGTGGCTGATATGAATATCCTTATATATATGTTTTGGTAGAGAGATTAACTCATTTTTTCCTTTCTATTATACAATTCTCACATCAGATTCACTTATAATAGCCAAAAACTAGAAATAATTCAGTATTGAAAACACTAATAAATTTTGGTAGAGACTTGCATTAGAATATTAGCAATTAAAAAATGCTGCTAAATGTAGTAACATACTTGAATTTCACTGACATACTATCTTGCAAAAAAAGGCAGGCCAAAAGAAATTTTCACTGTTCAAATGGCTCCACTGCAGAAAAAACAAATCAGTGATGATAAGAGGTCAGTATAGTGGTGCGCAGGGAAAGTAGACAAGAGAGTGTCTTCCCTGGTATAGAAAATATTCTTTATCTACTAAATCAATGTACAGGTGTATAGTTATGTATCAGTTCTTTAGTTGTACACTTATTATTTGTGAAATTTGCTTTACATAAGTTAACTCCATTAAAGATAAAGTTAATATTGTTCAAGGCTTTTTAAAGGAGCTGGGTTTTTTCCCCCTATTTTCTTCCACTTCTAATTTTAAAATTTAAATAAGAATTATTGCTTAAGAGTTTGACGAAATGTGCTAGTAAAACCATCTAAGCCTGTAAGTTTTGTTGAGAAAACTGATCTTTGAAAAGCATTTCAGTTCCATTATATTTATTATAGAATTCAATTTTACTCTTTCTTCTTGTGTTAATGGCAGAATTATATACATGTATGTGTTTGATACAATTGTGGACTTACATATTTCTCTCTTACTTAGGAATGATACTTTTAGCTGTACATACAATTTCAGATTCAATGCTCTTATCCTTTTTAAGATATTGCTTTATTGTCTTGTACATAATATTGCTACCGATAACTTCAGAGTCAATCTGATTCTTCTGAGCAGATGGTGTACTGCTTTTTTCTGGAAATTTTACTTTGCTATTTAAAAAAATTTCTATGTAGTGTGGGTGTGAATATTTTCCTTATTTCACTGGTAATCTACAAATACTTTGAAAATGAGACTTTACCTATTTTTAAAAATTCTGTACAATTTATATCTATTGATTTTTCAAATTCCTTCTCTCTAGTTTTATTTTTTTTTTTAATTTTTTTTTCTGGGATCCTCTTAAGTATGTATGCTAAATCTCTTCAGTCACATCTGACTCTTTGTAGCCCCATGGACTGTAGCCCGCCAGGCCCCTCTGTCCATGGGATTCTCCAGGCAAGAATACTGGAATAGGTTGCCATGCCCTCCTCTAGGGGACCTTCCCCACTCAGGGATTGAACCTGCGTCTCTTGTGCCTCCTGCATTAGCAGGCAGGTTCTTTACCACTGGTGCCCACTATGAAGCCCCCCTTAACTATATGATGATGCTTTTCTCCTGTCCTCTGTTATCACTTACAATTTTAGTTTTATTTTCTACTTCTTTATTTCTTTCTCTTCTTGGAAAATCACTCAAACTGATATTCCAACTTACCCACTTGTTCTTCATCCAGGTTCATCCTACTTATTTCTTAATTGTATTTTTTAACTTCCCAGCTGAGTGGCACTTTTTTGCTAGCCCGATATTCGTCACAGACACGGTGAGTAGCTTCAGTTGCTACCACAGGTTTCTGTGGCTATAAAACAAGTGATAAAATGAATTGGGGGAAATGCAAGATCAGAGCTTTCCTCTGGTCTCCACATACAGCTTTCTTCCTACGCTGCAGCCACCCACCAGCCTCTACCTGGTCCTCCTCTCTCCACTCACCAGTTCAGTCTGAGTTCAGTGTACACAGGGGATGGTTAATTCTTTTTTTTTTTTTTTTTGGCTACACTGAGTTTTTGTTGCAGCGTGGGTGCGTGGGCTCGGTAGTTGCAGCACACCAGGCTTAATTACCTCCACAGCTTATGGGATCTTAGTTCCCTGATAGGGGATTGAACCTCTGTGCCCTGATTGAAAGGCAGATTCTCAACCACAGGACCACCAGGGAAGTTCCTTATGTGGTCAGTTCTTTGGATACTTATTTCCCTTTTGTCTCTGTCATTTCTCCTGGATTGATTCTGGAAATCAGAGTTGATTTTGGAAGTTAGCAACCTCTGTTAGTTGAACATTTTGGCAGGAATAGGACATTGTGGCCTATAAAAGAAATGATGCCATTGAAGAAGAAATATTTGAGAACCCAGGGCACATATGTGTCTTTTTTTCAGCCAAACTAAATGGAATATGATCAGTAAGGTATAGAGGTCAAATTTATAAAATCATAATTACCCTTTTATCTCTATGAATGATCCATGGTAAGGCTGCCAGTTTAGGAGATTCTGTAGATACTATAGCTCTTTCACAGCAATGATAGACATACAGAGAGTGTACCACACATGTCTGCCAAGTAGAGACCAGCAGGGCCTCTCGCACTGCTGTTAATCAGATATTACTAAAGGTGCAGGATGTTTTTCTGTTCATCATTAAGCCCATTTGTGATTATAACCACAGTGTTATTTAACAGGAAGCAAAGTTTGCTGTATCAAAAGAAAGAACAGCAGTTGCTTTTGCATTCAGGAGAAGGATGTGGGTTGTGGGTAATAGTATGTGTGTGAACTCAGTAGCATATGACTCTGCAACCCCAGGGACTGTAGCCTGCCAGGCTCTTCTGTCCATGAGATTTCCCAGGCAAGGATACTGGAGTGAGTAGCCATTTCCTTTTCCAGGGGATCTTTCCAACTCAGGGATTGAATGTGTGTCTCTTGGACCTCCTGCATTGGCAGGTGAATTCTTTACCACTATGCAACCTGGTAATAGTAAAAGTTAACACTCTATGTGTGTATTTTATTATCCATTTATTTGTACATTGGTGTC